AGTTCTCCCTTCTCCACTCCACCCCAGTTGGGCTGTGTCTTCACTAGAATGGATAGCTCAGAGCGAAAAATAAAAAGTAGCACCAATACTCACGCCATGTTATCAGGCTCGGTTGCACAGGCTCCCACAGCATTGGTAACATTGACCAGTAAAGCCTGATTTGTACTGGTCAGCAGATTTACCAGAGAAGGTATTCCACCGGCTTTCCGGATGGTTGTTCTGTTTGCGGGGACTTTGGCACACTCGCCCAAGGCTCCCACGACGTTGATTAATACCTGCGTATTACATGACAAATAGTTCGATATCTTAGCTACAGTTCCTGGAAGTGATTAACATGTAACTTCTCCCTATCATACCTCTACATTATTCAGCAAACAGGTAATGAGAATACTCAAACTTATCAGGTAGAAGTTGTTATCTTGATCTAACACCATATTCTTGCAAATTATTTACAAGGAAATGTGTAGCAGTTAGAGGGGATAATTAACAATCAAATCTTGGGAGTTACAGGGTTAAAAACGTAAGGCTAATAATCACTTGCCTCCTCGGGTTGTTCAGTTAACAATGACACCAACTGCTCGATGGCTTTAAGTTCTTGAAATCTGGTGGGGAAAAAACGGCAATGGCATTAACTGATACAAAAATGCATTGTGATACTTGCATTCCTGAAATTATCGCACTAAGGCATAGGTTTCCATGCCTGAAATGTTGTTAAAGAAAAGGCTTGAGTTTCATATGGAAAGCGACAGTCGGTAAAAGCTTTTAAGCTTACGACAACGAAAATATCTGAGAAATTAGTTGTTTAAAACAAGCACTTCCTCAGATATTCTTGCTGCCTTAAGCTTACGATAAAGGAACCAGTTTGAGCGCAAGTTTGGTGTGGGGTCAACTGTTATTTTTAATACGAAAATATTTCGACAAGTACCACTTGTCATCTTTAGCATTTACCCCGAAGAAAACTAGAGGTACTACTTGAGATATTGGCGTATTAAATGTCTCCTTTGCCGCTATGCCAGCCATGCAGTTCATTCATACTTAAAAGAAGCATATTCCAAATTCTAGGTCAGCGGCAACCAGGAAAAAGCAAGTGGCGATTAACTGCGAGAGCTGTTGTCAAGGAAACAGCTTAGAAACGAATCTCATTCACCGATTCCGAAAACACCTTCGCGACGTAGAGAGAAATGACATGGACGGATCCAAACCAGTCGCTAGACACTTTAATCTCCTAAGCAATCTAAGCAACATAGAGCAGTTTGCGGTCTTTCTTTACATCTAGGCAGTTCGAAGAGACGCAAAACTTTAGTACAAAAATTCACATTTCAAATCGGCACTCTTAGTCCCTACGGTATACATGCACCTTAACAAATTGAGATCCAGCATTACATAGCAACTGAGGTTTACTCTTTAGTACATGCCTATACTCAAAAGTTTCTCCGCACAAATATTTAGCACCTCTTTTGAAAACAAGACGCCACAGAGGAGAAGCCACAGGTTATTTTTCTTTACCTTGTTACATTCTCTCGGCTGATAGAACATTTCCAAATGGCTCCAGTGGCAGCCGCCAATAATTCTTTATTCTCGACATTGAACGACAACGATACCAGAGGATCGAGGCCTCCATACTTTCGAACAAGCTCACGCGTCTCGTCATCCTCGGCACACTGAAAACAAATATATGAACATATTTAATGTTGCGACCTATTCTGCATTTATGGAATTGATAAAAAAAACTTTGAAGTTTTACGGACTTTGTTTCATTTTTATTGTTCAATTTCAGGCGCACGCTCATTGGTTTATTCAAACGATTTAAATTTTTATGACGTAATATGTTTTGTCACGCGTACGAAAAAAAAGTGGATTTGGGTATTTTTGAGTAGAGCTTGTATTGTTCCTTTGGCATTTGGAGGGAATTTCTAGCTGATTTTAAGAATTTTAAGGGCTGTTGAGAAAAACGTCAGAGCAGATAAACACCATCAGTACATACCGCACAGGCGAATAGCGTTTTTCGCGCTCGCTGATTGGCTCGTTCAAAAGTGATTAGCATGAACTGTTCACCTCCGGGCAGTCAATGAGACAAAATCGTGCGTCAAGAGTTTTATTTGATTTCTGTATAGTATATACTAAGACAATTGTTCACCCGTATTTTGGTGAATAATTGTTGATTACCTCTACGAAGGTGAGTATCAAACAGCACTGCACTCGCTATTACGATCTGAACGCATTTCGATCGAGTGTCATAAAAGAAAGACCAAAAACCCAAGGATGTAACAAGAAATAGTCAAATGTGTCACATGTCACAAAATATGGCCAAAGATGTAGCATGTCACAAGGAGAGCAAGGATGTCACGCGTCACACAATGAAGTCCAGGATGTCACATGTCACAAAAAGTAGTCAGAGATATCACGTGTCACACAGTTATGTTCTCACCTTGAAGATGGCGCTGGCGCAATGCATCTGTAGCTCTTGGTTTTCACTTTTCAAGTTTCTGACAAGGTCTTCGATCATTCCTTCAGTGCGAATGGCAAGTCTATAGCTAGCCTGACAAGAAACGACAAAACCGGTTTATTAGAATTAAGAATTTTCATCCGTGTGCGACCCCGCAAGATGCAATAGGTGAGAGTATTATTAATTATTCAAAACCGATGAAACAGCGAATTTGAAGACGATAGAGCGCTTTTCAATCGAGTGACTTAAATCCAAACCAAAGTGATCACAACGGCCAATCAGAAGATAGGGAAATGCCTTTAAGAGCCAATGAGAACTCAAAGCAAAACAAGCAGAATACCTAAAGCGTGGGAAAATACGGGCGACCAAGTCGTGATTGGTTTTGATTTTGCATCTGATTGGTTAAGAGAGTGGTGCGAGTTTTCTGGACCAATCATAGGACGAACTAAAGCAAGAACAAAGCAATCACGGATTTCTTTCGAAACTCAATTGAAATCGCTCTTTTTTAACATTGAAGCTACTTCTGCTTCATCATTTTAACCAACCTCAGAAGCACATTCCTGCAGAGTTCCCACCACAGGAATGAGCATGGCTTCGTTGCTAGACTTGAGCAATCTGGCCAGTAGAGGAATTCCCCCTGCTTTTCGAATGGCTTGCTTGTTTTTGGTACTCTTACTGCAGCTCCACAGAGCGAGCGCTCCACATCGCGCAACGTCAGCTTCCAGATCTGATGCATTCACAAGGGTTCCACAATCTAGCAGTGACACCTGTCAATCAAATACGTGTAAATCACGTGAATAGAAGCGTTCAAATGGCTTGTTATTGAAGACAAAATACTGAAGCTACCTTTGAAAAGCCTGGGAACTTTAAGGACATCTGACTTCGCTTAAGCCTAGTAGTACTTCAGAATCTTTTCCCCTTAATCCTTAAAACCCTAAGAGTGACCAGTATCTAATTTCTCCTTAAAGTGGAGAGAGAGGATATGCTAAAGATCGACAAGTTAATATATCATAATTTTTTAAAAAAATTGTGATAGGAGATTTTCGCACTTGTCTCAGCAGTAGTTGTATAAACAATAGTTTTCGGGAAAATACAAAACCAGGGATGGAAAAAGTGGTCCGAGCTTAACTCAAAAATCTCTTTTTATCCTTGGTTTTGTACTGTCCCAGAACTGTCATTTTCCTATCTCTACAGTATATAATGCTTCTGACACATTCATTAGGATCAAGAGAATTTAGGAAATGATCGCCAACAAAAGAGGCTTTGATTGTGAAACGAACTCTCCTTGTCAGTACTAAACGACATGTGTGAAGATAAGCAGGGAGAATATGGATTCTGATATCACGGTGTGGAGCGTTAACTTACCAATTTTCGTATGCCGCCATATTGCCTGACAGTGCGCCTCGCTCTCCTGAATTTCGCCACATGCGCAATAGTCTCAGCAGCTAAACACTTCAGCTCGTCGTTGAAGCCCTGAAGTAGTTTTACCATAGTCTGTAAACCTTGGAAAACGAAACATAATGCTGTTTAATTTATATACTGGAAAAAATAATCGGTATCCTACACTAATAGTTATT